AGACTGGGATGAAATTCCAGAAGGTTAGAAGAAAACAAGCCAGCATGAATTCATGCATCAGCTATGGGCTGGGCTGAGTGACCTCTGAGAACCTTCCAGCCCTCAGATTCTATGACTCACAAGTAAAAGTAAAGTGCTTCTTGGCTCTGGCTCTTCCTATCCTCTGATAGGTTTTCGGGGGGAATTAGTGACTGTGCCATAGATGGTGTGTCAGCTGCAGGAGGATTCCTGCTTTCTTTGAGCCTCCAATGGTGGGAGAGGCAAAGAACGGCTTAGGAAAAGAAGGTCACAGACTGGTAAAAATTTTTCATTAGGCCTGTAGAATTTTGGAAACTACTGTATTTGTAGACAACCTTTTTTTAATTAAAGAAATCAACATAGGAGGAAATAATGCGTACGATCCCCTCAGATGCCTGCGTGGGGTCTGAGGCTGCATAGTCTGGAGAGGAACAAGCACAGTCTTTGAAATTTGAAGGAACAGATTCTGAGTCAGTCTTCCCCACTTCCTGGCAATGTGGTCTCGGGCAGCTCTCAACCTGAATCTCGTCGTCTGTAAAGGGTCACTGATGATTCCCATCCCGCACAACTGCAGAAGAATTAAATAAGGAAACCTGTACAGAGCTATCAAAGAGCTATATGCATATAAAGTGCTGTTACTAGGAAGGACCAAGTCTGCATTATTACAGAATTCTTTATAGGTCTCCTTTAGAATGTTAGAAAAAGAAAGAGAAAAAAGTCCATCTGAATTTTAAAAAACTCAGAAAGAACATTCCAAAAATTGCCAAATGAGAACGGAGGCAAGGATAAAGAATTTAACATTTTGATCTTCGCACCATGGTGTTTGGGGGTATTAGTCTTTATGGAACACGTGTATCTTTCTCAAGACACACTTGTTAAAGCAGTAGCTTTAACTTCCAAAGTAAAAGAAAAAAGACTTCACATTTTTGAACTTGTCACTCTTAAGCCAAAGGGGAGAGAAAATTTTCTTTTTATTGTTTAAGAATTTAATCTTTCTCCCCTTAAAGGCATGCCCCGTCCCCCCGGCTCCATTTCTATAAGGATTCAATAATGGTAAGCTCTCACTAAATGTTAATGTTTATTTTTATTTATTAAGTACTTTATATGGATTATGGCATGTAAATTTAAGAGACTCACTGCTTGTTAAATTCACTAGAAAACACACAGAGACAAATATGCCTATACATATACACACATACACACACACACACACACACGCACGCACAGCAGTAGCAGATCAGCAGAGAAAGGCACCAGCCAAAGAAAGATAATTTGAGATACTTCTGAGGTGGCAGTTGTAAAATTAAAATAGGCAACTCATTAAATTATCCATAGAGTGAAGAGAAAGCTACCAAAATAGATATTTTTCTGGCAAGTCAGTGCTTTTCAGAACAAATTTAGTTTTAAGCAGAATTTTAAAATCATATGGTATCAGTTCATATTGATTAGAATTATGTAAATGGTTAGATTAGTTTGTCCTGATTAACAGCACAGATTAGCTTTACTGGCCTTTGGTAGAACTATATTTAATAAAAGATATGTTCAGTTAGACATTATCTTAACCGACAGATTGTCAGCAATTTGACTGAATGTTATTTGAACAAGTTGGAGCCTGGTCCCCAAATCACAGAATTAAAAATAAAAATCCTTTGTAAGTCATGTCTCAATGCTGATTTTTCCTCATTTCTATTTGTTGGTTTTTGTGGCTGATTATCTATTTTGTGGTCATCCAGGCCCTTGCCTCTCATGTTGGCTGCTTTTGGAATGTTGTTTCTTACTAAAGCTTCCCCTAGAGGACAGGCCAGGAAAAGGAAAGAAATTAAATTCACCAGTTTCTCCTCTTATTAAGAATTTAGAGATTTGATAGGGAGAGTCTGGCAAATGAATGAAGAAGCTTATGTACATTGATTTTAGATCTTTTAAAGATCTTCCTCTCAATTTACATTGATAGGCAACTGACAAATAATATTTTGTAAGCCAACAAAAAATTTGCTTTAAAAATCCCCATTTACTGCCTTGACCATACAAATTAGATGAAATTTAAAAAGAGCTAGTACTCTGGTTCCATCAAATGAAAATGCTTTATGCACGGAGAATTTCCTAGTGATTGACGCCTCCCATTTAGGAGTGTCTGCCTCCCAGTTTGCAAAGCCCTTTCATTCTCTTCTATCCTCCCAAAATTGCTGTGCTGTAGGTCTTACTACCAATGACACTGAAAAAGCTACAGGCAGGATGAATATATTTTTATCCGAATCAATACTGGTATATTCCATTGGGGGAGCTAGACCAAGCTAAAATCTCACACAGAAATATTAATATGCAAGACCTGGCATACAAAAGTGGGATAGGTTACTGTTAATTTTTTGAGGTTGAAAATACCTTCCCTTTTCTTCCCCTCTCCTGATTATCACCTCCTCATCTTTTGTCTGATTTCCAACAGGGCAACTGAAATTTCTTGCCGTCATGCTGAGGAGCTCTATGTAAATACACATAAACAGTGACTATCAGGTGCACCATCCTTAGAGTGACATTCATTTGCAGGACACTTTAGGAGAAACCATCTCATCTCACAAGTCGAGGATGTGTGTGCGCATGTGAGAGAGGATGACGTGACACTTTTGAGGTTTGTTTAAGTCGTTAAATATCTCGAGGTTACAAGATTTAGACTGTTAGGCATTTTCCCTGCGTGTCTCCCAGAGACATGAAATCTACAATTTTCTCGGTTCGACTGTCAGATAAATTGGCAAGTCGACTAAAAGGATAATATTCCCTTAACGATACATTTATTTGAAGCCCTAGCAACTGTATTAGGCAGCAGCGAGTATTCGCTAGCAAGGCATCTCGCGGAGAGAGGGAACTCTGCAATTTAGAGTGACAGATGATTTTTTTCTCATCCATCAAGCAGCCTCAAAATGTCACAATATTTACACCTCTTCCTTGGTGAATTAGAATCCAGAGACAAGCAGAAAAAAAAAAATTCCGACCGGTTGCCGCTTGATTGGGGAAAAGCAAGCGTTGCACCTTTAAATTCTGCCCCTCCGTTCCCACTTCTCCCCCTTCTCGGGATTTTGCAATAAATCTCCCAGTTCTGCGTTCAGCCCTGCAGATCCGTATTTAAAACAGCACCATCTGGGAAGGGTGGGTGGCGGTGGTGATGCGGACTCCTTGGAGTTCCTTTGCAGCACGCTTGGAATTGCATCAGACTGATCAGAAATCCCCCCGCCCCCAAACCCGGCCGCTCCCGCCTCGTTCCCCTCCCCGCTCCTCCCCTTCTTTCCCCTCCCCTGGCGTAGATCTGACTGGAAAACGACTGGATCTCGGAACAATCTGTGCCCCATTCGCTGCAGGCTTGCTCCGTAAACCCTGCCCTACGCTCCCTTTGTGTGCCGAGCAGCCTATCACCGTCATCGCAGCCTAGTGCCTGTTTTTTATTTTTTCCTTCTAAATCTCCACAATATCCTCGCGTTGCCTATGAATCCATCCTTTCCACCAGAGCAGTTGGGATTCTTTCTTTCGTTCGAGAGAATAGTCGAGTCTTGACTTTCGGAAATATGTTTTCCCCCGCGCTCGCCCCACCCCCAGCCCAAGCCCTCGCCTCTTAATTGAGAAAGGCTGATCCGGGAAGGAGGCGTCCAGAACGCCCAAGCCCTGGGGCGAAAACTGCCAGCGGGCTGGGCTCGGCGGCCGGAACAAAGGGCCCGGGAAGGGGGTGGGTCGAGGGTTGCAGGAGTGGAGAGGATGGTGGTCCCCGCGCAGGGGCGCGCAAGTCCCTGGGCTCCCCGAGCAGAGGCAGGAGGACAGCGCTGCGGCGCGCTCCGGCCGCTCGGGGTGCCGGGGCGGAGGCGGGGGAGGTGGACGGAAGGCTGGGAGGCTCCGCGCAGCTTCGGTCTCCCCCGCCCCACGGCCCACCCCGGCGGCGGCGGCCCCGCGACGAGCCGGCCGCCCTCCACCCGCGCCTCTGGTTGCAGCCTCGCGGTGGCTGGGCGGTCTGCGCGCCCCGCTGATTGGTGGCTCTGTCCAGCCGCCGCGCGGAGCTACGAGTGTTCTTCTCCACCGCCTCCAGCCGCCCAGGACCCCTCCCCCGGCCCGCTACCCGGCTCTTCGGCCCAGAAAGGACCTTCTCCTCCGAAGCAGAGGCCCCCCCTTTCCTTAGTTACCCCGACTGACTCGGACCTGGGCTCAATGAGGCATCCGGCCCGGCGGGGGAGCGGAGCGCGGTCTCGGCGGCTCCCCTTCCCTTGAGAAAGCGGGAGCCCTCTAAACCAGCGCCCGAAACTCGTGGGGAGGGAGGAAAGAAAAAAAACAACCCAGAAAGAAACATCCAGCTAGGCGCGAGGGCGACGGAGGGGAAGAGACAGAATGAGGGAGGGATGGAGGCAGGAGGAGGGGGCGGGGTGGAAGGGGGGGGCGGGAAGGAGGGAGGGAGGGGGAGGGAGGGAGACAGAGAGAATGAATCCTTCTCACTAGAAGAGCTGAAATTACCTTGATTCATTTTGTGTTGGAGATTTAGCGTCACCTCCTACCCTCTCCCCAACCTCCGCCTCCCCTTTCCTTACCGCACACCACCTCCACCGCCTGATTCTAAACGGTACAAAGTCAAAATTTAGGAAATCGAATGTTGTGTAAAAGCTTCATAATTAGTAATGAGTCTACTGTATACACACACACACACCAGCAAAGAGAACGGAAAAGAGGGAGATGAAGGGGAGAAAAAGAGAAATCTTACATTTGAATCAGACATTTGCAGGTCCAAGTTAACTAAACTCATTATATCCGCAGGAAAATTGAGCATTTTTTTTTCCTTCTCGCTCTACCCCAAGGCTCTCACCTATGGCAATTCAAACTGGGCAAATACCAAGAAACAACCCCCCTCTCACGCTCTCTTCTACCTCCTCCCCTCCACCACACGTCCTCTCGGGAAGATCGATTATCAAAATAGCTCAAGAATTGGGGTTGCAGGGGGTCCCCGCCCCGGTGCTTACCTTCTTTGCGGCTTACACCACCCCGGTGGCTAGATCCTGGAGATAAACACTTGCATTTCCCAAAGTTAACCCAGTATACCAACCCTGAGCTTGCCAAGAGTCTATTCCAGCCTACACCGCTAGGAAGCCAACTTCAGCGAGCTCAATGAGGGGACCAAACTGGGGCTCGCTTTCCACACGCTCTGCTCCAAAATCTGACTGTGTCTCCAGCCCCGATCTCAGTGTGAGCCGAACCTCAGGAAAGACGCTTCTTAAGGGCGACACCGGGCTGGCTTCGCTGCGGGGCCAAGGCGGCTACCTGGGGTACAACCACCTCGGACAAATCCGTTGGCTCTGTCCAAGGTGCTGAATGGGCTCGGATCGCCCGGATTACACACGCGGCGCAGCAGGAGGAAAATGCTAAAATATCTCTAATTAAGTGATACTTGATATTGCTCTAGACGGTTTCTTCCACTTCCTTACGTTTTGTCACGTGCGGATGGCTTTGCCAAAGCCATCCTGTTAAGTTGATCACATGTTGATGAGACCCTTTTCTTCTATGAGAGGATTGCCCATTTCATTACCAGTGACATGCACTTCTGACTTATTTCTATCCTACCAACCCCACCCCCATCTGCACCCAAACTCCCAATCTCTATCCCATCCTTACCCCCACACCACCCCCTAACCCCAACCTCTAATAGCGTTATTGTTTTTAGATGGAAATTAACCCCCTTGCGAATGTCAATTACATGCCCACGTATAAATCGTTGAATATGCTCATACACCACACACATAGAGGCAAAGAATGGAATGCAGGAAGGCTGGGA